AGGTGTGAATCAGGGCCCCAACGATAGTCAGGTGATGGGGCACATGACCCTCTATGAACAACAGAGCCAATCAAGGCACTAACAGTTGTTTGGCTGATGGTCCCCCTTTTGCATGTGACCAACCTGTTTGTCCACCATGTGGAAGTGGAGCTTATAAGGCTGAGTTCACCTGAAACTCTCAGACTGAAGAAGTCTCTCGGAGGAGAGACGAAATGTTTCATTAGAGAAGAACCCGTCCAGAGGATTTTTCTTTTGAAGGAATTAAATTGATGAAACAGCACAAAAACTGCTGTTGTTGCCACAACWTTTCGGAGATGTGTTGCTGCCGCCGTCAAATTTAAAAAGACCTTTTCCCGCCACAATAAAATACTTCTTCAATTTTCTCTTTTCGCTTGTGCTGATCTTCAGCTCATCTTTATAGCTGACAACAGCTAAACAATCCTGCTTTTCATCAATCTTTGGCCCCGCGGCTGTTAATGTAGCATTCTGTTACCTGTTTATCAAGGAGGGGAAAAGTATTTAACATTATCACCAACATTAAACTAAGATATTAACCGTTTCTGGACGAGAGGTTAATCTCAGAAAAATCAAGAATAAACGTCAGTGACAACATGTTCCTCCATGAGGTAATTTGTTGTGAAAATAAACTGACTCTCATGGTTAGCTTGTACCTTTTTAAGGTCGTATTAAAGCGAGTCTGTATTTTGAGGCCATATTTGTCGACTCTTTCACACAGTTTGACTTAATGTTGTAGTTTAATGGTCTACTTTCAGCTAAGTCTACCTTATTTCTCGGCTGTTCTTGTCTTTGGTCTCGGTCGGTGGGTTTATCTCTCAGATTGTAAAAACTGTTCTGAAGAACCGTCTGGCCATGCTCTGTTTGTTTGTTGGTTGGGCCTCTTTTAGGTATTTGTGAGAAGCWGATGTTTGTAACTTTAAGAGACGTTCTAATGATGACATCAGCTGAAGGAACAGCAGCCGAAGCGGCAATAAAAGCTYGGCTTATTTACGACGACGGGCCGCTTTCTGTCTAACATAAAAATTAAATCAATAGAACATAAACAGACACCAGTGAAAAACAGAAAACCTAAAGGTGTAAATTTTTTATTTATGTTGAAACAATCTTCTTCTTGAAGTTTTTTTCTGTTTGATTTTCTCTGAGAACTGTTGGGTTTCATCTGCTGCGCCTCGTTAAAGTTTCTGCTTCTTTCGTTTTTTAAGATTTGTTTGGGGAATTGTCGCCCATTTTTACACCAAAAAATAAAAAATGAACAGCTTCTACTTCTGTGAAACTATTGGGCTTTTCTTGCTCTTCTGAGAATTATTCACAGATTTTCAATAAAACTCACCTGAATGTGTTGTGAGGGCCGAGATAAAACCTTTGGTTGGAGTTGCCCTCTGAGGATTTGCGTCTGCGTTGGATCATTATTTTGTTTTCCTGGCTGTCCCCGTTTTTTTATTTTTTATTTTTGGTGGGTTTTTTTTCCATATTGTGCTGGAACTTTTTCTGTTTTCTAATTAAATCTTTTCTGACTGCCATTGAAATGTTCCCTCTGTACCACCGGCTCAAATGAATCCACAGAAACGTATTGATTTAATAAAGTTCTGAAACCTGTTTTTTTTTTTCAGCAAGAAGAAGGTTGAATTTTCACCTAATCAGTCAAAAGGATTGTTCATTTTGGTTTTCCTCTGATGACTGAAGGTCGTATGTGTTTTGAAGCAGAACAAAGCATCAAGCTGTTAAATCTTTCTGTCACAGTTTTTTTTTTTTTTTTTGCACTAAAACAGGTTTTCATTTACCTCTGCAGCCGTTTGATAATCAGTTTTCTCTCCCAGGCCTGAGATTGACCTTCACAAAAACTGCTTACTATCTTGTTAGATTACAAATCAGAGAAACAGTCTCCTAAAATATTTTGCTACCACCTCATTGACTTTTTTTTGCTTTCAGAACAAGACTTTATTTAGAGTCTGGCAGCTGCTTAAAGGGACTCCAGGCTGGTATTTACTCCCCCATCACATCCCACCACCAACAGCGGACACCCCAGGATGTCGGTACCGGTCTCAGTTTAAACCTCTGACGTTCCTTCAAGTTTATTCTTTTGATCATGTTAGCTGACCTGAAATAAAATAAGCAAGTCTCTTTTATAAATCGTATTAAAGCAGCAGAGGAGAGGAAATCATTAACTAACGTTCTCAGAACCTGTTGGTCGTTAAAGTAGCCCAAACATCTAAGTTTACTGTTTCTTTATACAAACTCGAAATTTCTATGAAAACGACTGCGTCACGGCTGAATAAAAAGAAGTTCCCGGGATCTGTGTGGGAGGAGAATGAAAAGTTACAGCTTAAGTTCTGATCAAGGTTGAAGGGTTTTTGTATCCATCCAGTCCGGTCCTGGGTCTGAGGGAGCTCAGAGTTCTGTGTGTTTCTAAAAACGTGTCTCTCTGAGCTCCTCAAAGCTACAGCTAAACACGAACACGAGCACAAAGCTGCATCGCAAACTTTAAAACATTTAGTCGATAAACACTTATCGTTAAGTTGTCATCATTTATGTTTATACAAAATGTATTTATTAAAATTTATTAAAACTCCACTTTCTAACATCCTATCCAARTACCTAAGAAATACTTTTGTTTTTGCTTTTAGAAGATAGTTTAATGTAGAATGCATTTATGTTGCTTTTTATTGCAGATAATATAATGCATATCACCAGCTGCTGTTCATGCCAGAGTTTTAGACTAAAATCRTCTCATTTTAAGCAAATGTTGTCATTTTGGTCAAACCTTGATAATAACCTTATTATYAGACAAAAGTGTGGATGAATCTCAGCTACTACTACTTAAAACTATCTGTATAATGAGCTGAGTGGTTTTGTTGATTAGAATAAAAAAACATCAACAGTTTATCAGATTGTACGTAGAATCGTTATATTCGGGATAAATCCCACCACCAAGACTTCACAACCAGTCCCACACGTGAAAATACAAGTACGATTAAATGAACAGGAAAACTGTGGTTTTTTTTTATTTTTTTTTTTTTTTTT